CCCACCACCACAGGTGACACACACACACACACACTCACACACACACACCTATTCGCCACACTCGGAAAGTAATTGTCATTCATTAGCATTGAATCGAGAAGGCAGGTGTATTACGCATGTATGAATTTCATTCGTCCACTTCTGCATCATCATTGTCATTTTTCGCAGAGTGCGGAGAGAGAGGGATGGGGGCAATTTACATTCACCTGGCGTCTGTGGCAGGACGACACTTCCCCTCGTTATGTCGAAACCTCGGCACCAACGGCCACCACCCGTCCAACCTCAAAGTGAGAGAAATATCTCGGCAAATACAACTTTTTTTGAACGGAATACAGTATATGATTTCGGAATAACGTAAATTTTGTTCCGCCCGAAAATTTACGACAGAAACGACTTGGGCGTCAAAAAGAAAACGACATTGAACACGAAATTAATGCTGTGCCAAGGATTCCAAACTAGCTCTTTAATACGAATTGTTACCATTTCGGTCGTAAGACCTTCCAGAAAGTGCGTCCGTCATTCAGTGTTACGAATTTGCCAAGTTGAGGCGATGTCAACTCTCATAGCGCCTGGCAGGTAGGCAACATCTCGCCTGCAGCGCATGCGTGTACAGCGGGGTGGCCTACCCTGAGTCTCGCAGGCGCTGAGCGCCAGCAGTTTACCGAGTGAACATGACAAAAACGGACGTACTCGATGGACGATCGCTAAGACGTACACGTAGTGCAGTGTCAACTTTAGTGTAACCCCTCTTCGGTGTCAGCATCGCCGAACTTACACGGCGTGCAGGTAAAGCGGGCTTTTTCTGTTGTGGCATATTTTCCACACTTGCCAAAATGGAAAATAAACCAAACAGTACTTAATGAACTGTAATGTGAATTCTGAGTTGAGAAGGAAAGAGAGGCCACTAAATAGCTCGGCAGTGAGTGTAGACCCGTTCACCCTAAGACGAAGTGTTCGTGAACCACACGAGTGAAACCAAAAGTCGACGGACACTTTTCAGTGTACAACACTACTTGCCAGTATCTGACTGGGGGTTGCACACTTGAACGCGTGTTATTGAAAGTTTCAGCAATTTATTTATCAGTGTAGATGACAAAAACGGAAACGATCGCGCAGTTGTACCCTTTGAATTTGGCAACTTAAAGCGACGTCTTCCTTTGACGTTTTTTTCCCCTTGTTTTTTTTTTATCCCTATTCTTCCCCTCTATAAAGCCATATTGCCACGCCACCATATGCCTTGCCACAACTCTCCCCCCTCCCTCCCCCCCTCCTACGAAACGTAACGAGCACGGCAATTGTGTTAGCAAGCGCGCGAAAATATTCACGCCCAAAACGCGCAAAACGGCGCGCGGACACTCGAATTATTCTCATATAATGAGCAATCAATAATGCATTTCTGCGCCGCTGTAACGCATGGCCCGCTGATGTGCGGTTATTTGGGGAGGGAGGGCGGGGAATTGTACACTGTAAAAATGATAATCATGGTGATTTGATACGAAATTTTCTCGGTTAATTTTCTATACATTACGTAAACTTTGTTTTTAAAACAGTTACAAGGCATCGCCATTTTACGAATTTGCCGTCGTAAAATCCAAAGCTCTCACTAGGCGTATGAAATTTGTTACATTATGCCGACTTTATGACTACTTCTTACCCCAAATAATTTGCATACGAGGTATATTTTTAACTTTAATGCTTCGTAAACAATTGACACTTGCGAAATATTTTTGTAAAATATTTTTTACTAAGCATTTCGTAACATCTTTTTTCGTAAAGTCACGAAAACGTGTTACAGTGAACGCGGGCCACGCGCACGCGCGCGCACACACACACAAACACACGCGGGGAAATGGGAAGCGGGGAAGAGTTTGCGTTGATACGTATAAGGAGACTGAGCGAGAGGTCTTATTTGCTCGCCCCATCCCAGTGTTACAATAACAGAAGGAGACGAGACAGGCGAACGTGTGTGTGTGTGTGAGCAGAGGGCCGTTCCTAGATAATTCAGTAACGAGGGCCGTGGTCCTGCACTATGGCCCCGGCGGGCTCCTATAGGGCCTGGGAGTCCCCTCCCCACCCCTCCACTTCCATCCCCTTTCAAGTATTTATACGATTTCTTGTCCTGTGACGGCCCCGTCGTGTGTCCAGCGTTGCCCCCCCCCCCCACAACCCCCCGCGGGGTCAGCCTCGGTCCATTCGCGGGGGCAGTTTGCACTGGGGGAACCCAAAAGTGTATGAATGTCGCTCTCTCTGTAAGGTGTGTGAGATTTTTATTATTCGCTTGCTCGAGGGCACCAGTGGGCGAAGTTTCGAGGAAAAACCACACCCCTTTAGCGTAAGTGCGCACAAATCTGCAAAGTCTGCAGTAGTCAGACATATGGGGTGCACCTCTGTGAGTGAATCCAATCCGGTTTGTGCGGTTTGTGAGAGTTTGTCGTAATTATTGCAAACACGTTCACATTTTTTTCCATTGTGATTTAAAAACGAAAATCTAAAAAAAAGAAAATTAACAACACCCCGTCCAAATTTAAAACTCTGTACATAAAACTTTAGCAAAACTTAAAAAAAACAAACATAATATTTTGTAAACATTATTTTCTAAAAACAAAACAAAAAACAGGCAATTTTAAACTTCTTGGAAATGTTATGCCCGATGCACGATGCAGTGTGAGTGTGTGTGCGTGTGTGTGAGAGTACGGTACACATGTCCCGTATGACATACCGTGCTGCTCGCCGGTCCCGACCAGGATGGGAAGCGCAGTCACTGCGACGATGAGGAATCACACGCCAGACGTCACGGAGGCGAGCACACTGCAAACAGAGCAAGAGGAGAAAGGGAACGTGTAAGAATGCGCCGTCAGTGCGAGAAAGAGAAGGCGGGGGAGGGGCACAGAGTTAAAGTTGGGTCCGAGTTGAATCATAGTTTGCACCCCCGGCGGGGTGGTGAGGGAGTGGGGACAAGAGGCACAGGGTGCGACGGGGACACGACACGGTGAGGAAGGGGGGAGGACTACGGGACGTGATTCCACCCGCCTGCTCCCCTAGCCTCTCTGCGCTGCTGCTGCTCCTTCAGGGCAAATGGCGTATTCAGTGGCTTGACCTCCCTCGCCCCGCCCTCGCCCTCACCCCATCCCCCC